CTGAACCTCAGTTGTGATAAGACTCCTTCCTGGGAGCCTGGGAAGGCTTCACTGCAACTGGGAATGATTTATTTTCTTCCAAGAAAATACTGGGGTGTGAATTGCTAGTGAATCCCTGTTTAGCCCTTTTCAAGGCCTATTCTAGGCCCATCTTTAGTTTCCTGGTCTGGAGGAGTAGCTTGCAAAAGTCAACTGCTGTCACTTCAAAACCCATGCTTACCACTGGGATTGAGTTTAGTGATTGTGCCTACACTACAGCTTGTTCTTGATGCAGTCCTTTAAAACAGAAGCTGTTTTAGTTCAGCAAAGTAGGGTGTCTGAAGCTTCCTGGTGAACGAGTTAGAGGCTGTTTAATGTTTGTTTAGTCTGAATGTAGTATTGTTCAGTTCTAGGCGCACGACGTGGGCTGAAGAAAGGAAGCTCAATACAGAGACGTTTGGAGTGTCTGGACGGTTCCTTCGTGGCCGCAGCTTTCGCGGTGGATTTCGAGGTGGAAGGGGCAGTGGAGCAGCAAGGAGAAACCAAACCACTCACAGAGCTGGTACTGGCAGAGTGTAACTTCAGAGGCAAGTTTCTTAGCATGAACGAATATTGTCTCAGAACACTGAGCTAGATCTCTCTCTTGTTGCCTGAACTGTCTGTGCAACCAACTTGCTTTCTAATCTCATGGATACATCAACAATTGTTCCTTGTTGTATCTGGTATATCCTTCCAAGTGATAACAGGAAATATGAGGCATTTAAAATTATTCATCTTTGTTCTGCTGATTTCTGGAGCTAGCCACAGTGGCCGTTTCTGGCAGCTTCAAAAAGCAAGAGCTGCTTATTTCAGCTGCAGTAACGTAACATTGAGGCTTTCTAGCTAAGCATTTCAGAGTTGATACAAGGGTTTAAAAAAAAAAAAAAAAATCATTGCTTTGTTCTTGCTGGCGAAGGGTCTCCTGGGTGTCAAATCTAAATCTCCCTTTTTTCTGAATAGGTTCTAACATTTCTCCTGGGAAGATGAAAGTGTATATAGAAAGAAAACGACCAACTGCTGCACTAATGTGGGAATATGGTTCATATTGTTTACTGTCTCAGCTCAAATGACAGAACTTCATGTACTACTGCTTCTATTCTGGACTTATTTTGGACCAGCAACTAACAGCTGGAATATTCTTTGGAAGAGGGAATGTGTTCAGGGGTACCTTCTTCAGGGTGGCTTTATTTTTTTTGTTTGTTTTGGGTTTTGTTTTTTTAAGTGCAGACTAACTTACAACATGGTTCTTCTTTCTGGGTCTCTCAAAGGCTGCTATAGTCTAAGCTTAAAGTCAGACTCCTTTTCTATACCCTGAAGAAGATAATCATGCTATTTTAACATGGAACCAAAGCTCACTTGAAATAAACCAGCTAACTTGTTTGTTCTGAGTAACCAAATGGATTCTTTGGTGCTGCTGGTCTTACTGTTCTAGGCAGCGTGTGAAGTAGCACTTGGTATCTGGAAGAATGGATTCCTGGTGCTGAGGAGTTGTGTATATTGTCACTTGGGAATACTGGATTGTTGATCATGTAGTAGTGTAAATGACTGTACAACTGTTTGTCAGCTGGTACTAACGTGGAGGTACTGCAGGCTTACACAGAACTGTGACTCTCCCTCAGATCGGCAAAGGGTGCTGGGCACTCCTCAAAGCCTTAGAATACAGGTTAGGGCAGCGTGGGAGGAGCAGTGTGCTGTGGTGTTGGCAGGACAAGAGCAGCGAGTGTCTCTGCCTGTGTGCTCAAAAAGTTTTCTGCCGTAGGTGACTGTCTAGGAAGGAGCTTAGAAGCTCTGATCTGCCTCAGTTTGTACCTCATTCATAGACAGTACTAACTGCAAACAGTTCTCTGTACACTAGTAGACTGTGGTGGAACACTATGGAATGTTTTCATTAAACTAGGAATGGGGAGTCCATGTAATGAAGTTTAACAGATGGGCATGTTTAATTTGTTTCCTCTAAACCCCCCCATACTGTAAATAGTTTAGTTGGTTTTTTTGTTTTTAAAAATCTGTATGTGGGGAAGGGCTGGGAGGGAGGGGGTTAAATTTGTTTGCATGAATAAGTGGGTTAAATTGCTATAGGCATGTGTCCCTTTTTTGTTTGGTAGGGAATTTTGTTGAAGAAGCACCTTGATGACTGAACCCCTTACATAGCTAGAATTTTTTAGTTATGCATTGACTTAGGTTACTGTAAAAGCTTGGATTTATTTTTGTAGGACTTTATTGCTAAGAATTAGAACATAGCAGTGGGGCTGCTCTTTGGAGTAATGTAAATTGTAATTATAATAAACATGTAAATGTTTAATGTTTTTCCTTCTGGTGTGTTCTGTATGTAACTCAGCAACATCAGCCCGTAGAACTTGTTCAATACCTGTCCTAACAGGGTTTACATCTAAGTCAAAGGAAATTGTATTGCAGAGTTTCAGCCAGCCTGAGAAGTATTACGTAGTATTTGCAAAGGGTGTTTAAAAACCCTGTTGCAGCCTTTGAGCCCTTTCTTACTGTTATCCTGCGTTTTTATGTTCTGTCCCTCTGGGGACGTTGGAGGACTGAGAAAACCACTTAATGAATGGAATAGTTGCCTGAACCGCAATGCGTGTACCTTATTCTTTGTGTATCTGATGGAACCTGGAGCCTGTGTAGTGATATAGCTCAACTAAAACCTTGTTTTGGGGGGCAACGCTTCTGGCATCAGTAGCCACAAATGCTTTTAGTATCTGGGCTCATACCAGCAGAAAAGGTGTGTGCTAAAATCTGTAAGCTGCTACAAGCCTCTAATTTCTCTGCTGGCAAAACAGCCACAGTGACATTGTGTTTTAAGATGGAATCACATTGCCAAAGTCAACTAAGTAGCAAGTATTTCACAGCTTGTCCTTGGTGACTAAGGTGAAATGAGAAATCAAAATCAACTTCTGTACAACAATTCCTTTTGATTTTTTAAGGCAGTAGTTCCCTTTGTTATACGTTGAGCCTAAGCTCTTAACATCTTCAGGACGTGATTGTGCTGTTACTGACAATACTGAAGTTTTACTGTGAACTTATTGCAGTGTTTCTGCAGGTAGAGTGCTGCATCTGCATCATCTTTGTGTACTGCAGAGCCATTGGGCTCCTTATGCTGCTGGCTTAACGCTCTGGGGCTAATTAGCTGCTAGCTCTTGTCTACCACAAACACTCCTCCTAGTTCAGTCTGACAGGCAACTGTATGTAGTTCTTTCATGTGGAAGATCCCTAAGACTAGGGAAAGACAGTGACTTCTGTAGGAAACCAAACAGTCTAGCAATTCAAAACTCCATTTTAAGGCCTCAGGGTAGCACTTCATCCCATAAGGCATGTCAAACAATGCTACTTTCCAACAAGACAGTTTCTCTAGCTTATGTGGTCCAATACTTTCCTGAGCATGAGAAAAGATCACTGCAGCTTTCCTGTCCTTGATGCCTGTGATACTCTGCCCACACTTCCCTTTGAAACATTTAGCTGTAAACAGCTGCTCAGGCCAGGAAAAACATGTGAGCTACTGCAGGCTGCTTTATCTGCTGACTGGGGCTACGGCATCTCCTGCTGTAGTCTAAAGGGCCTTCCTAGAACCCCTCAAGGGTTTGGTTAGACCTCCCTTTGTGGTGGCTCTCGTGTAGGCGAGGTGAGGTTCCTGTCACAAAGGTGCTGTGGAAGGTGAAAGTTCTCCTCACTACTCCCTGTTCTTCACCTACCTACTTGTCCTCTCTAAAGCAAGAGCTTCCACCTGAAGCAAGGTTTACACTTGTAAAACCACTTGTTCTTTGTCAGTAACAAGATTGAAGAACTGCTTGCAAAGGCTGTTTTATTTCTTGTTCAATCTCCTTGGTGGTAGATGTAAAGAGCAGAAGTGGTGTGTTTTTATTTTTTAAATAAATGCACCTGTAACTGTTACTGTGAGATTAAAACAGCTATAGTGAATAGCAACCTCTGCAAGCAGGTAGCAAGCCTTAGAGGTAAGAGCTCTAGAAGGTGAAAGGCTGCTTTGAAATTGAAAATGCAACAGTAAGCAGCAAAGTACAAGTCACAGGAACACCTAACTTCCCCCTTCCCTGGAAATTTTACCTCAGCACTGGGAACAAACGGATTCCTTAGGAAACTTAAGAATACAGGTTTTACTGTGTAAACTTAATGACTATACAGAAAGATAAACAAGACAGCAACAGTTAACACAGGCAGGAAGAAAAAAAAAAGTAACTAGCAGTGGTTATGTTAATTTCTGATAGCATAAAAGCTTGCAGGCCCACTATCACCTAGGCAAGCCTTCTCTTTTAGATCAGACCATAGTCAAACCAGCAGTGCTATTTTTCCTGGTCCCCACAGGGACAAGCTCTACCTCTGTTAACAGCAAGACTTCCAGGTACCAGAAAGTGCTAGAAAGGGGTTAAGAACATTGCTGTGGAGTACAGCTTGTTAGCAACAGAGCTAAGCTTGAAAATTGTCTCTATTAAGTTTATTATTGAGCAAAGCTGTTGAAAGCAGATGAAGCATGTAGAAATAGCTTTTCACCTATCTTCCACTAGCTTAGCATACCTATACTTAAATAGGTAGTGTTGGAAGACTGCCAAAACGGAGGCTCTCTGACAAAGATGCCACTATACAAATACTTATCTGAAATAAAATATCAGATTTGGATATTTTGTCATCTCCTTTGTGCTTTTTTTTTTTTTAAAGTATCAATGAATAACCAGTTATCACCTGCTATTTCTAAATGTATCTATTTCACATTTTATTGTATTATGCATTAGCAAGTGCATATCTGAACTGATCAATAACTGTTTCCAAAGACCAGAGGATGAGTTTGTCCATACAGTGTGATATGATTTCGGTACAGAGGCCTTTACATTCTATAAAGAATAAGTGATCTATCATTTACTGAAGGGAATAGGGAACTAGCTGTGGAAATATGCTGAATGTGAACAGTAAACAGGCTTGACCAAGAACTGAACACCACTCCTGCTGGTGAGATGAAATTAAGTAGAAAAGGAGAAACTGGACTAGAGCTTTATGGTTTAACTGCTGTGGTATGTAACATTCTTTGTAGTTCCTTTTAGCATTAGGAAGTTATTGATCTATAAATCCCCTAGTGGGCAATCACAATAGCAATACTTTTATTCTGAACCAGATGAATCATGCAAAATCTAATTAAGTAGCAAGTCACGGACCTCTTCTGTTATGACATGCCTTCAGAACAATCAATTCTCATGCTGACTTCCCAAAGCATTACACCCCAAATTCTCTATATTGTTCTCTAGAGGTAAACCCAGTACAGTTTGTGACAGAAGGTGTTAAATCTTATGTTCAGGGCCTGGCCCTTTAAATGTAGAAGTACAATTTAGAAAAAAAAAAGCCCTCATGTTTCCATACCAGTTACATTCTGTTGAGGCCATATAACACTGCTTGGGCCAGCTAAAGAGTAAGCTAACAAATGAAACAGTGGAAGAGAATCATTAAACAAACTGAAGTGCCAGAGGAAAAAAATGCAAATAAATCTTTGTTTTTTAATGGATCTCTTGCTGTTTTGTAGCCAAATAGCCCTAGGTAATTAAAATACAAGGAACAAATAGATTTCTTTAAAATAAGAGCTTAAAAAAAAAAATCAGTAGGTTTATTGGATGTTTCAAGAGGGGCACAGTATGAATAAATGGAATGCCTACACGTTGTCTATACAGAATAACCCATCACTTGAATTAAAAAGGAAGCAGCTAAGCAGTTGAATTTCGGTCATCATGTTGTTTTCTTCTGTTTTTTCTTTTCGTTTTCTTCCTTTTCTTTTTCAATTTCAGCAACATACTTCTCAATTTCTTCAGGGCTTAAAATCTTAAAAAAGAAACACAAGTGACCCTCAAGATACTAATACAACTTAGGGCTTTTATTTAAGCAATAGCTAACTCTGACAGGGAAAGAAAGTTACAACATCATTTATATAGACACAGCTACATTGTGCAGACACAGCAACATTAAGCATTCCTTGGTCGCTACTATCAAATAGAAGTATTTGCCAAAGCAGAAGGGGTGATTAAGGGCTGGAAGTTATTGTAAACCTACGGCAACAGTATCAGAGGAACATGCTTCACAAAGGAGAAAAATAAAACAACCACCTTACCTTCAGTGGCTGATCTCGTCTCATAACTGCCAGCTCAATGTTTTTCCCACCAGACTGTACAACCTTAATAAAAATTAGATGTAGATATGAGGAGTGTATCCATTAGTTCTAACAAACTCCTTTCAAATCTTCACGGTCAGGGGAGATGGCTGGGAAGTATTTCCCTTGTTAACTCTAAGCTCTCCTCCCCATTAGTAGTACAACCCTTAAAAAAAGTCTGTCTTCTGGTGTCAGAGCACTCAGTTGTTGCTGAAGAACACCACATTTCTAAAGTCTGACTTCAGATTTAAACTTTCTATATCTTAAAGTTCAATATAAAGCCAAATCATAGTGCACATAGTTTAGAGCAACTGCGATACATTTTTATTTTAACTGCCAGAACTGAAGTCTGCTTTCCTCCCCAGAGGACTGCTAGTAAATTCTTCCATGTGAACTACAGAAAGCACTGTCTGAAATATTCCAAAACTTGAATTTAATCCCATGTTCAAATACCGAGTGCCCTCAGCCTAAACACATACAGTTTTAGTAGATTATTTTATAGTACTTCCCTGTGGCATATACATTTGTATGTACTCATATTTAAGATGTTAATCCAGACATATGGTGAAGAGTCATGAAAGGCTCTTGAAGTGCTCACCTCAAGAAGAGCCTTGATGACAAGTTTAATAGTTAGGTCATCTGTCTCAATGGCTTCATCAGTATAGTTTTTCTCCAGGAATTCACGCACAGATTTGGCTCCTCTGCCAATGGCATTAGCCTGGAAACATTGAAGAAAGTTAAGCATGGAAGGTTTTTTTTGTTTTTGTTTTTTTTGTTTTTTTAAAAAAAGTCATTCACACAAGTTGTACACACTTACATAACCTTAAGCCATTTTATGATCACCATGTATTTTTCAGTAGACTGAACATATTACTTCCCACATGTCACATGAAAAAAAGAAGGCAGAAGAGCCAGGCACATGTGTTTTTTGGAAAACGGGATAAGATTTCCTAACTAAAGCTAAATTGCAGTCTGCCATTCCAAGTAAATTTGATCATTAAGGATTTCTGCAGCTGTGAGCCAGCACCATCTGCCCAGTTAGATCTCCTTTCTGCAGCCTCTCTTTAACAGAGACATTAACTCTTGAATATTTCATTAAGTCTCAGAGACAGAACCAACTCACCTTCCAAGCATGGTATGTACCGGACGGATCAGTCTGATACAGCCGGGGGGTTCCATCAAAGTCAAATCCCACAATAAGAGCAGAGATACCAAAAGGTCTGCGGCCGTTGCTTTGAGTATATCTCTGATGGGAAAGAGGACACTTTTATTTCAGAAGCAGTTCTAAAAGCATTTCTAGAGTGAAAAGCAGAATCTGTAAAAGTTACAACCAGAAAAGGCATTAGAACTATTTGTAATAGTCTCTCTTATCAACCTATTGAAGTTAGGATTCCTTGCCTTACAAAAGGCCATAAGCAATCAAGTTAAGATGCAGTTATTTTTCAGCTCCTTTTCTTAACATCCATTGAAGTTTTCCACATGATTACAGCTATCAGAAAAGAATCTTTCCTGTCTGCTTCTTGGCAGTAGCCTGGAGACAAACTAAAGACTAAAAGCCCAGGTATAAAACTGTGTTTTGACAAGCATGCTTAAGAAGCTAAAAAAAGAGGATGATGACATTCGAATACAAAGTCCGTTTTCAACAGTAGTTTGCAACTTTTCTATTAGAAGACCTAGCATCACCTGCTGTGACAAATAGGTTGCAGGAAAAACAAGGTTATAGCCCTTCCCCTTCTATCAGTTTAGCTAAATAGTTGCCACACAGCACGCCAGAAGTGGTCATGAGCAAAGAGACCCCATACCAGCAGCACTATTTCAGTAGGTATACAGTAAAACTGCTACAGTTTTTAACAGTTTAGAGAATTTGCGAGTGGTCCAGAATGAAAGCGAGTGGTAGAGAGAGAGAGAGAGAGTAAATGTGAGACTACTGTAAGGAAAAAAAGTGAAACTTTGGAAAGCAGCATTCTGCTCCGGTAGACCAATGATTATTGCTAGAATTACGCTACAATCGTCACTACACTAACACATCTGTGGATAAGTAAAATAGACTTTTGCTAATCCCCCCTAGCTACTGAAAATTAGAGTTTAGTGCATTTGCAAATGAATAATTTCACCACAGAACGCAGCTGGGCATATTTTGACATTGCAGTTCATTTTAATATATTTCACACTTGATATTCATGAATTTAGGTACAGCACTGATTTTTCTCCCCTCTTGCCCCTCCCTGCAGCATCTTAGTAGGAGGAAACTAAAATAGGAGCCATGAAGACATTTTGACAATAATACAGCACTGTCACTGCGCACATGAATTAAAGCTGTAGGTTAGCTTTAGCAAAACACTTTGCTGACTGTTCCTGATACTAGGCACAAGTATAGTTAATGCAGTCTTTACAAAGTATCAATTAATTTCTTCATCATTAGGAGAAACTAGCAATCAACCCTCCTTCCTCTCTTTTACTACAGCTCTATTTCCAACAAATAACCGTAGTCTGTTTTGTTACCCTGATTTTTACCAGCCAGTTGAATACGGCCACAAGAAAAGGTTTTATCTGCTTGGTCTGAAGTGCTGCTCACTGAACACATCTGAAATATCTCTGTAAAGTTCCACGTACCTGTTTGAGACTAGCGATGTAACGTGTAATGTATTCCACCGTGACAGGATCCTCCACTGTAAGTCTATGGCTTTGACACTCTACACGAGCTCTATTTATAACTATTCTGGCATCAGCTGTAAGCCCTGAAATGATAAGTGTATTCAGTGTATGTTCAGATTCATACTTTATGCACAAATAAGACATCTAGTCTACCCCAAAAGGCTCACAAGGTCAGTGTCAACATAAAAACATAACAAATGAGATTAAACTTTCAAGTTTGCTGAGCAAGAACAGCACTTTTAAAGCAATAACAAGGAGTTTATGTATCAAAATTAAGTAGAAAATTTTAGCTTACAACTTTCGCGTCTGAGAGTTAGATAACGCTATGCAATTTTGCACCAAGTAATCAGAACACTACTGACAGACTGAAAGCATTCCATCAAACAGCAGTTTAGCTAAGCAATTCCCTCTCTCAAATTTTTCAGTTATAATTCTTATACAGTTCCCCTAATTATGAGCCCACTTATCTTCCCAGTAAATCTTGTCTAGTTGATGGGGATAGAGCAGTGTGATGCTAATTGCCAAAAATGAGCATGAAGGATTAAAATTTGATTTAAAGAAAAGGCTCATTTTAAAAATAAACAAACAAACAAACCCACCACACACTAATCTCCCGTTTTACTTTTTGGCTAATGACTCCACTTTCAGTGGATAGCCTTGCTTCCTCAAGAGGACTTTCCCTCAAGCCTGGTAAGCCCACCTGCAAGTACCACAATCTTTAGCTGAGGAAGCAAGGCAACCAAAGTTAGTTAAGCTTATCATTCTTGCACACTAACTCTAAAGAACAGTATTGCTGCCTATTAAATTAGATCTCTCCTTAAAGCATTACTAATACCGATATGAAGATTCCAAGTTACTTCAAGACAGGAGAAATTTTCTGAAATCCATTTTCTCTCCATTTTTTGACTTCCATGCCCCTTGTACAAGTTTAGAATAATGGAAATTAAGGCATTTAGAACAGGAACGTGAAAGTAAAATGTTTACGCTTCAAACCACTGGAGACAGGACTGTTCATTCACAGCGAGTCTTCTGAATCAGAATGTAAGAGATTTGTTTTATGCAAGACTGTTTGCAAAACGAAGCTTTTTTGGCTTGATGCATGTGGGAAAAGGCCCCTGAAACTGACTCATGCCTGTTACCACTGCTGTGATATATATTAATATGCATCTCTGCTCCTCTGACCAAAAATCTATATCTGTGCCAATGACACACCAGTCCTTAATCTTCATCCTCACGTTTAACCCAGAGGACCCTGTTAACTCCAATAAATATTTCATTAAATCACTGTCTGTCTTTACATAGCTTTATATATATATATATAGAGAGAGAGAGAGAGAGAGAGAGAGAGAGAGAGAGAGAGAGAGAGAGAGAGAGAGAGAGATAAATATATACTGAGTTATATATAGCTCAGCTATACTGAGCTGCTCCTACTCAAAAAGGATAAACATTCATACATACTCCTTCACCACAGTCTTCAGGCACAGTTACGCAAAGTATTTTTGTTTTCAGAACTCCTAAACCTACCCAAAGATGCCCCAGTAAATGCTATACCTAACTCAAAACCCTGTAGAGAACATATACCTGCAAAAGCCATGCAGACATTGTCATCAAGAGCACAGATCTTCCGTACAGTTCTTTCATCCTGAAGTTTTGCCACAGACTTCTTTTCCACACCAAGAACAACAATGTCCTTCCCTCTTACTCCAACCTTCAATGCATTAAAGAGAGAGAGAGAGAGAGAGAGAGAGAGAGAGAGAGAGAGAGTAAGAGCATGTCCAGGAACAGTTAAGATAGCCCCAAAAACCCAGTAGTTACAGACTTTACTGAAATAAGTAAAACTTTATTTCCACTTGAAGCCAATATCGTTTCCTACTGCAACAACCTGGAAAAAGGACTGAAGTAAGAAGAGAAATTGCGTTAGATTCCAGAGTTACATTCCAGTTTCATAATCAGCTTACACCCATTTAAATCTATGCTGCTCCTAAGAAGTATATTTCCACTCCTCCCAACTGTGTTTTCCCCAACTCTTCCTAATACCAGCATTAGCATTTCTACAGCTACACAGAAAAGCTGGTAAGGTAGGTGACCCAGCTGAAAGTTAACCCCAAAAAAGGTAATCAGCATTTTTTGGTAGCAGCAAGACCCTGAATCAGCTTCAACTGACTGTGAAGCTATTGTCTTAGGTCCAGAAGCAGGATCAAGATAACACTGCCAGGGTGACTGGCCCACCGGTATTGTTCAAGTCAGACCCCCAAATACTTGAGATCAGACCAAGTAAAATCCGCAAGCAGCCCATTGATGGCTGGCTTGCTTCCTTGATGTACTAATTCATACTCTTGAATATACCTTTTCCAATGCTTGGGAAAAGGAAGCGGGCCTTTCATACTTTTATTTCTGCTCCTTTTCATAGAGGGACTCGCATAATTTGTTCTTACAGGGCAGCCCTGCTCTTAATGTGTTACAGGCCTTTCTAAAAACATCAAACTCAATCAGCGACCCAAAAAGAAATAAGGTACAGATCAGGTTATTATTAAATGTTAGCTCCACTTTTACAATGCCTTCAATTTCAGGGAGTCGTGGGAGAGTTTATTTGGGATTGAGTCTTGTTACAGATATTCTTATCCCAAATACAGTCAGTTTTCTTCCTGCTATTTTGTTATTAGGGAACTGGCACAGTTTCCCACCCCGCAATGATAAAGAGTTTTCACTGGGCAGAAGTTTGGACAACTGGAAGACTGAAGCCAGTAGCTGGAAAGTCACTTCTACATACCTTTGCTGACACGCTTCCCCAACCACTGGGAATCTGCATTTTGCGCTAGTACGGAGTATTACCGTTTTAACAATACGTAGGATAATGAATGAGAGGATCGTTACTTTTCTGGAGGTCAAGCGACAGTTGTGTCCCCTCACGACAGACGGAAAGCTGCTCTACTCATTCAGCCTTCCTGAGTTTGCATGCAGCTAAGCCAAAGCCAAGGCAGTAGCTGCCAGGACTCCCTCTTAGGCGCTGTTCACTACAACCTGTAGCAGGCACCAGCACTGGGCCTCAGATTCAGCCTCTCAACAAATAAAAGACTGCAATACATGCAACGCTCCCCCTCCCCCAACAGAATAGTCCCAACAGAAATATGCCACGGGTTTTACACACAATACAGTATCCTGTCCAAAAAGGAAAAGAAATAAGATTTTAAGGTAGGTTTAAAAGCATTATTTAGCTTTGGAATCAGCGTTACGGTTTCAGACCTAAAGTGGAGTTTGAGTAACACACTCCGAGAAAACAAATCAGTTTTTTTCAGCAGGCAACAAAGGACAACCTTCCCCCCCAACCCCGGCGCCTTCAGGGCCGCTTCAGCGGCCGCGGAAGCCTGGCCGGGGAGCACCGCGGCCGCGGCGACACGCCCACTCGACGAGGCG